GTGTGAAACAAACGAGTCCTCGGCTGTGTTTGTCTCACACCTGAAGACGGTTGCTTGTGTTGCGATAGAAACGTCGTGATCTATTGTTTTTTTCTACCTACGTGACTTTACCGAAAGAACCAAAGAGTAATGGAATTAGAGGCAATTGGCTTCCTTCACGTAGATAAGGGCGGCGTCACAGATAGAAGCAGTCGCTGTGCAGACGCAGTTTGTTTTTGTATGTACGCAGTGACCGAGCACAGTTCCAAAGGCCCAACCCGTCAAGCGGCCAGAAACAAGCAGCACTCTCAGAGTTGTCATCGCCACGAGTCGACGCGCTTCTTGAATGGATCCCGCTGGGCGGCCAGTGGCAGTGGGGGGTTTGAGAAACTTGCTCCATTGTTTCAGCTGCCGCGCCGGGAGATGGGATCGAAGCGGCGAGCTCTGGATCGCAAGTGTCGTGTTCTACCCATACAGTAGTAGTAGTAGCACGTGCTGTGTGTGTGGTCGTGTGTGGAGTGTACGTGGTGTGCCTGACAGCGCGCAGGACAACGTGGAGATACGAGCACTGGTACAACGTGTTGCGCGTCACGGCATGGGGCGTCATATCTAGTACGGGGTCATGTGCACCATGGTGCGATGATAGTGAACAATGCAACGTGGATATTGTTGAATGACGCGTGGAGCGGTGGCCGTGCAGTGCTGAGCGCATTGCGCCACGAACCCGGCGAGCTCAACGTCCATTTCCGGCCACACTTTCAGTCGCGCACGGGCGCGACGCGCTCGCTCACGTGACCATTCCCTTTGTTCGTCTGTGTCGGGTGGTGAAGGTCTCACGACATGAATTTGGCCACATCCGTAGGTGGCCTAAAATAGCTGATTACATATTACATTCGCTATGAGACGCCATAAATGTCTATTTGCCTTGTTATGATGCGGAATAATGCGTAGAATGCGCGGGCTCGTGTGGAGTGCGCGCGCCATGTTGCATCGCTAGTGCCTGCTGCTGAGCAAGAGCGCGGTGTGCAGATCCATGTCGCATGAAACCCCGACTCTGGCCGATGTCTACCACGCTCAACACTCGATATGTATATACCACATTCACACGTCTATTAACTACAGCGCTCTGCGGTGTAACAAAGAGATGGTCCACGTGGTGTGGTGTAATACACAAGACGAGAGCGGGAGGAGCACGCGCAGGTGAACGACATCGTCCACTCCGCGAGGAGGCGCGGGGGGGGGGGGGCAGCAGGACGCGTCGCGGCCACAAAGGACGGAACGCGTCCGAGAGGGGCCTGGCCACCGAGGAGATGGAGCGATGGGATCAGTTGATGTGCAAGTGCTGGAGGGAGATTCGCATCAAAGAGCATGAGACGTGGTGAAGGCTTCGCGAGGCCTTCATCCAGCAGTGGACTGACCATGGCTGATGACGAAGTCATACAGCAGCACGCCGCTTCACTCTCGTAATCAGTTACCCGAGTAATTGTTTTGATCTTGATTTAATTGTTTTGAGACCAACACCACACCCCTCCGCCTTTGTTTCCCCAGCGGGTATGTTTACTCAAGGATGAGTAGACCTAGGGGAGGTCCAGGACCAACTTAGATAATCATCACTGATATTGACCGTGAGCCGGGATTGAATTCGGCTCGTCGGGTTCGTCGCCGAGTGCGCAAACCAAAAACACGCCACCGCTCCTAACTATATATATACACACACTCACTGATACGCATACACAGTCATGCACACATTGACACAGATACTCGTCGACATAGGATACACATATATACCTACACATACACACAGCTCGGCTTGCCGTTACTATAGACATATATACATTATTGTCTTCGGCTTGTTATTATCGCTGACGCTACTATGTTTGTCAATTCACAAAATAAACATGGTTCCAAAGTGGGCATTGTTCCTAAGTTGCTGAAACCCCCCCGGGTCGCGCAGTAATCGCAACTTGCGTGCGGGGTTTCCTCGGATCGCACGCGAGCCGCTTTGTGGGGAAGTGACCAGGGGTTGTCCTATGGATAGATTCGCCCCCGCCATAGGAATGTGGAATTTACACCACGGGCTCTGCAGGGCTGTAAACGGGAGATGAGCACCAATGCCTCAATGCTCACTTGAGCATCAGGAGCGCGCTCCGCCTTGAATGCACATCGTCACAATAATTGTGACCCTGTGCCGCATGTCCAGTGGCGCTTACTTCAAGGTATCTCACATCGTCTCGCGTCTCATTTCACCCACCCGAAGGAACCCCCAAGGGGCAGCTATCCCTGTGCGGCACAAGGTGAGTGAGTAGCGGCGTGCACGTGGACTGTCTTCTGCAGGTCGAGGACGTGACGTGGCGCGCGCAGTGTGTTGCCTGCATGACATTACCGGTGCGACGCAGTGATGAGCGTCGCGTGTCGCGTGTAAAGTTGTAACCCGCGTTGTGTGTCGCGTGTAAAGTTGTAACCCGCGTTGTGTGTCGCGTGTAAAGTTGTAACCCGCGTTGTGTGTCGCGTGTAAAGTTGTAACCCGCGTTGTGTGTCGCGTGTAAAGTTGTAACCCGCGTTGTGTGTCGCGTGTAAAGTTGTAACCCGCGTTGTGTGTCGCGCGTAAAGTTGTAACCCGCGTTGTGTGTCGCGTTTAAAGTTGTAACCCGGATTAGGAGAGCCACATCGAACACAGCGGGTCTTTACCTATGAACGTCGGGTAGTTCACCGGCATTGCTACAACCAAGCCTGACTGCTGATGAAACACCGCATGTCGAGCCAGTCCAGAGTAGTGCTTGTGATGAAACAATGCTCCTGAAATTGTGCACTCCAGGAAGGCCGTATGGCTGACGGGATGTTTATGTTGTATGTAGAAGGAGAGAAATGGGAAGGAGGCGAATTGCCTGCGCAGTTGTTTGTTCTTCCTCGCGCTCTTGAGAGCGACGCGACGGAGGCGTTCCCGTCGGATCTCCCAAACACCTCGCGAACAGAGTTCAAGGTCATCATCAAAAGGTCATCCCAAGCAATGCAGTTGATGCCACCGCTTCATGCCGCCGGATAGATTCCTGCAGATTTTGCAAAATCTTTTTTTACCGACCCCGGAGTGAGGGATTTAGGAGCTGACTCAGCCTCAGCCGGGAAGTGAACTCGCAGCTTCCCCATTGCGAGCCACTCGCTCTACCACGCAGCCGTAACCTGCGTCTGTTTTATATTTTATATAGTGTAGTGTATACACTACACTATATGCATACTATATGATACATTATGGTGGTAAACTCCATTAATAAGTGCGTGACTCAGCTGTTGTGAAGCCAGCGATTGTCGTCATAGTATTTCTGTACTGCGTCTATCGGGAAGCCTCTTCGCCGCGGTGGGACGCGTGGCCACCGATTGTCCATCGAGAGTCCTCAACCCTTGGGCCCATGTCACGTGAAACGGTGAAGGCGCAGCCCTGCAATTGCCTGCTCGCGAAATTGCTGCATCTGTAGCTAACATTGCCCGGTGTGGCGACAAGGCGTTGTGGTATCTTGTGGTATGTCGAATACAGCCCTGAAACAGCGGTGGGAATTCTACTCATTTGACCGAGAGCAGTGAGTCCAAAGGATAAACGCGCTTACAGCCTATAAAATAGATACACGGACAATTCATCCCATTCCTAAACCTGTCCCTCCACACACAAAATATTAGTTTAACACATCCCATCAGCTACGCGGCAGTCTTTCTGAGTAACTCAATTCAGCAGCAAAACTCTGGACCGGTTTCGACATTCATGGTCTCATCAGCATTGTCAAGCTTGCATCGTCAAGCTTGCTTGACGATGCTGATGACCTACTAGATGTTATACTTCGGGAGGTGGCGAGTTCAACTCTTGGTCGTGGCGGTGGTTTACTCAGCATATCATCCCTCCGGGTTCGATGAAGAACATATACAGTACCACTTTGTGGGCAAGTCAACAGTGGTGGTCCTCGTGGATATACTCGCCCCGTTATCGTATGGTGGAATTTCCACCACTGGCTGAGGTCCATAAAAGGGAGATGAACACCGATGCCTCAATGCTCAGTTGAGCAACAAATCACTCTGACTGTTGACTTTGACGCCCGTGAACGTGGACTCCCTTTGACTATCTCGTCTGTGCACCTTGACTCGCGGTGGGGAGGGCGGATTACTCCGTTCGCTGGCGATGGAGATGTCTTTGCTAAGGACGCGGATTTAAGCAATGTGGACATTTGAGATGCCCATCGCGAGTAAACCAAACAGCGGATTATACATCACATATAGTCGCTGTTTCATATAAAAACGGCCACAGCAAGTGTATGAAATATACTGATTGACCACGATTTAATCAGCACGATACGCACAGACGAGGAGAAGTTTCTCAAACGACGCCATGCGTACACATGCACTCACGCCATTAATCCCCGCAGCATGACGTGTTCCACACGAGAGAGACTCGCTGGAACCAATGTTTATCGGCGACGACCCCCCCCCCCCCTCTCTACCCCCACCTCTCTCTCTTAGACACCGGTCCTGGTGAGACGCACAACACAGAATTGTCGTCATCGTCGCTGTGGAGAATAGAAGACAAGACGCGTTCTGAACAAATCTGCCTCCTGGACAGGTTCGCTATTCGGCGTGAGCTCAAAGTGAAGTCACTGAGCCGCTCCACAGACTTGATGCTCGCACAATGAATTTGCGCTGTAATTAGAATTTACTCCGCATCCTGAGATGAATCTAGATACGTTCAGTAAAATTCTAAACGCACACTACCCTTGCGATTTGTCTCACATTAACTTAAGGTGGTTTTGTTTTTGTCACTTTTAACCATTCCCCACCGCCCCTGCGTGATGCTGTTTGGACATATCTTTTGTATAAAATGAAATCTGGCAGTTCACCAGCATTGCTTTAAAGCAAACCTGACCCTGCTGATGAGATACTCAATGCCGAAACCGGCCCAGGGTGTGCTCGTATCCAATGCCGCTGCAATTCTGCACGGACGAGGCAGATCGTCGGCGTATTTGCTCTACTTCTGCTGCACTCACTTGGTGGAGACGAGAACTTCGATGGCGGGCCCCAGGGGCCGTTGTCTCTCGGAGTCTCTGCGGCTGTCGGACTCTCGGTGTCTCCAGCGTCAGCGCCACCGCCTTTGATGGTGGAGATGTCTTGCTCCGTCTCACGCTCCGTCCCACGCTCCCTCTCACGCTCTCGAAGGTCCGACATTAACGCGTCCACGCTGAAGGCCAAACGCGGCGCCACCGTCCCCTGCTGCTGCTGCTGTGGGGTCCCCTCCTTCATTCTCTCCATGCCGAGCGTGGCGCCGCCTCGCACGCCTTGGACAGCGGGAGACCCCGGCTCGCCCGAAGCTCCTCCGAGCGCAGCGGCCCAAGGGGTGGCGGGTGGCGGCCCCTCTCCGCCGCCTCTCCCCTCGCGCCCGGCGATGGGACCGGGGAGATGGTCGATTTACGTCGCTGCGATTATCGCTCACTTTTTAAACGCATGCGTGCCCGTGACCGGCCCTTTAAGAGCGGCCGCGTCCCGAAATGAATAAATAATTACGGCGAGACGACAGAAGAGACGACACGCTAATTGCTCAGCGAGATGCGATGGAAAAGCTCTCGTTCTCTCTCAGCCCTTCGAGGTCTTCACGACCCTCACAATAACCACAGCTGCGGCGCAGCGACAGCGATGAAGGCGAGCGCGTTACCCACGGAGCGCGTTTGCCGGAGTTGCTCGCTAATGGTGGCGACACGCGCGTGTGGCGATGTCCGTGTGCCTCCCCCTCCATCATCTCCCTCCGCGCTCGCACCCCACCCATCGCCCCCCCCCCCCAGTCTCCGCAAGCCCCGGTGCCAGGAGAGCGCCTCCGCCCTCGCCAAGGCCACTCCCCGTCACGCAAAGGGCGCCGTTCAACCCCCTTCTTTCTACCCCGCTCCCTCCCTCCCTCCCCGCAGGGCGCCCGTGTTCTCACGCGTGCGCGGGGAGTCCCGTCGCCTCCTCCTCTCTCCGTCCCTCCTCCCGCTCGCCCCCACAGCCCCTCCCCTCGGTGTGACTGAGCGCTGACCGTGCCAGCGTCTCGCGCTCCTTGTGACCAACTTTCATTTGTGTGCGGATTTTAACGAAAAGCGCATAGCTGCCATTCCTGCGTGACACTTGCATAATGTAGACACTGTACGTGTGTGCGCGTACCCGGCGGGCTGAGCACCGCCACGTGTGCGAGCATGTGTGTGTGTCAGTGCGTGTGCGTGTGTGTCTTCGTGCGTGTGTAAGTGCGTGTGTAAGTGCGTTTGTGTGTCGCTGTGTGCGTGCGTGTGTGTGTGTCGCTGTGCACGTGCGTGTGTGTCTAAGTGCGTGTTTCAGTGCGTTTGTGTGTCGCTCTGCACGTGCGTGTGTGCCGGTGTGTGTGTGTAGCTGTGTGTGTCGCTGTGTGCGTGTGCGGTGAGCTGCGGCGCAGTGGTTAGCACGCTGCGCTACAAACTCCACAACCCGAGTTCGATTCCCGGCCACGGCTAACATCATTGACGAGTGAGATCTGCACCGGTCATGGGCCTTCGCGAGGTCGACTCACCTTCAATTAGAACCGAGCACACACCACTCGATCGTGAGCCCTGCTGGTCTCTTCATAGGTGGTCGCTAACAGGACATGCCCCAACAGCCTGCGTAGGCTACACGAGAGAAGAATACACGAGGGATCTTTGTATGTGTTTGTGACAATATTGCAGTCCGTTGCACACATATGTGTGTGTGGATATGTGAGAGAGTCTATTGTCCGTGTGTGTGTGTGTGCGGATATGTGAGAGAGTCTATTGTCCGTGTGTGTGTGTGCGGATATGTGAGAGAGTCTGTTGTCCGTGTGTGTGTGTGTGCGGGTACGGAGTGCACCGGTTGGCGCGCTGCTCTACGAACCCCGCCACCTGGGTTCAATCCCTAGCCACGGCTAACATCAGATGTGTGTCTACACATCAGATGTGTGTCTACACATCAGATGTGTGTCTACACATCTGATGTGTGTCTATACACCTCAACCAGGGAGACAAATGCGGCAGGGGGTGGTTCTGGCCACATCACTTTTTCGTGCCCCGTCAGGATCTTCAAACGTGATCGCGAACAGCACTTGCCCCAAAGCATGTGGTATGTATTGTGGATGTCTGCGTTAAATTAGTGTTTGTGAGCAATGAGTATTATCTTGACATGTACCTATCTCTCCTTGGTCATGAATAGTGTGCGGAAAGACAACAACATGCTGGAGTATTATGAGAGCATTAAGATAGCGTGACCCTTGTATAACATTTCTCTTTTGTCGCTAAAGTCGCTCGTGCCTGGAAGATCGGGACACGCGACCTCGTGCTGGAGGAGTCGTCTCCCTCGCGTCGCCTCGCGCCTCCGCTCCTCGGCTGTTATTCTGAAGACGTTCGCCGTGACGACAGTGGAGCCGCTGCCCCCGCTGCGTTAATTTGACAAACATCTCAGATGCACTGAAGCCACCATGGAGATGGTAAGTCCAGAAGTATTTGTACTCGTGTTTTACACATCCCATCCACCACATCGACCCTTCTGCGAACACGTAATTTAAATATGCTTTGGTGCAACACAAACAAACATCTGGAACGGTTCAGACATTCAAGCAAGCCTGACTGCTGATGAGACACTTAATTCTGAAACCGATCCAGAGTTTGCCTTCATTGAACCAATGGTGCTGAAAGTATTCACTCCCAGAAAGAAGACCGGGCGGCTGATGGAATGTGTTAAGACATCGTACTATTACGTGGAGGGACAGATGTGTGAGGGAGACACATTGTCTGCTTATTAATTTGTGTTTTGATAATCTCCAGAAGGACGCTGACTAATGACAAGGCTGTGCTTTGGCTGCAGGCTCTTTTCTCGGCTGGCAGGAGCTCGCCTCTCCCGTGCCGCCGACGAATTCGACACGCGGCATGCGGCAGCGCTGTTGTCGGATACACCACGCCTGGTGAGTGAGTGTCCATCCAATCTGCTCGTGAGTTAAAGTTTCAGGTTGATGTTCTTCAACCAGGTGAGCACTCAGGAAACCAGAATTTCAGCCACTCCAACCGCATCATCAGATCGTACATCTTCCACCTCAGGGCCCGTTGTCACTGACGTCCACTCGTCACCACCCGAATCGCCGACACCTTCGCCTGCAGCGTCGTCTCGCCCCGACGACTGCAACCTCTTCCCTTGGTCCATCCCCACCGAGTAACCTCAAGAAACTCCGACGGCCGAGAAAAACATCTCGCTCGCGCCTCGTCCTCAGCTCCTCCACCCACCTCCCCCAGCTGGACTCTCCATCGCCAGCAGCAGAGCCCCTGCCAGAGCCCCTGCCAGAGCCCCTGCCAGAGCCCCTGCCAGAGCCCCTGCTGCCTGAGCCTCGGCCCACCCCGTCGTCTCCCTCTCTGCGCTCACTGTAGAACTCCCTGCAGCAGGAGCAGGGCCACTCCCCGCAGTAGGAGCAGGGCCACTCCCTGCAGCAGGAGCAGGGCCACTCCCTGCAGCAGGAGCAGGGCCACTCCCTGCAGCAGGAGCAGGGCCACTCCCTGCAGCAGGAGCAGGGCCACTCCCCGCAGCAGGAGCAGGGCCACTCCCCGCAGCAGGAGCAGGGCCACTCCCCGCAGCAGGAGCAGGGCCACTCCCCGCAGCAGGAGCAGGGCCACTCCCCGCAGCAGGGAGCAGGGGGCCACAGTCGCAGCCGCTTCTCCGCGGCAGGCCCCGCCGTGTGGAACGCGGCCATCGTCCCCGCCGCTGCCGCCGCTGCCGCCGCCGCCACTCGCAGCGGCAGCGGCAGCGCTCCCTCCGCTCGGCCTCTCGGCGTCCCGTGGCTGCTGCGAGCGACACTGCGCTTGGCTCCGCGCCTCGGTCACGGTCACTTACGTCCGTGAAGTGTTACATTTGCAAGAATAATATTATTTTCTCAGTTGTAAGCGTTAAGTTGTTAATATTTGCTACTCGGTCGCTGCCAATGGGAAATTGTTCTTGGATCAACTCAAAGCGGTTTCATTTATTCAAATCAAACAAAACATTTAAATTCACATCGGTTTCATTAAAATGCGGGGTTTGACCGAGTCGCTAAGACAATCTCTCTCTGTTCTAAACATCATCTATGTTATATATATGAAGGCCTTTTCCCGAAACGTCGCCTATCATACCGTATTTGTTTATCTTTTGTAAGGGCCAATGTCACCGATGCCGGTGTTGACAGGATGTGTGATTATGGGCCATTGCCAGTATCACAATGACATGGCCTGAAGATGACCATTTCCCGAACCGTTAACGTTCTGTCTGTTATAAGACAATGGAGATGACGGGGGTAGTGGTGTGAGCGGTTTGTGTGATGACACCGCGGACACGATACGAGCGGTAACACAACGCGCCCAAAAACTCATTGCAGCTACAGCCCAGAATGTGTGCCGGGCTGTCATCCGCGAGTCTGTACACCTGGTTAATGATTGTATGAATCACGGCCAGCCACTGATCACCGGCACGCTCGCGATGAGGTCTCGCCTCGTCACGACTGTCGCGGCGTTGTCCGTCTCGTTCACACTCTTCGGTGCACACGACATCGCAAATCATCGATTGTCACCCGCACGACGAGACGTGGCTAATGCGAATCGATTGCCCGATGATCAAAGTACCCGGTCTACCACACACTGACTGTCATCGCATCCACACGGTGATCAACCACCACACTAACGGTCGCAACAACACACTGACCACTCACCCACTCACCAATCCACCCACCCCCTCAGTCTATCGACTTCTTCACTCGCACTGCCCCATTCGGGAATTGTCTCCGATCGTCTCTCTCTGCAAACCTCTCGCAACAAAAACGTCGCTCTATTCAACAGACGCGTTGACGCTTTACAATTACAGCTTTGATAACAATTGGTTTTTGCTGCTGGCTTTGGGCCTGTGCTCAGCCACCGGGTTTCACAATATCTCTGCGGAGCGGACACATACGATGCACGTGTGCACAATGTACGTGTACAATGTACGGGACACGTGTGCACTATGTACGTGTACAATGTACGGGACACGTGTGCACTATGTATGGGATCCCACAAGAGTACAATGTCAGGGACCTCGCATGTGTTGCTTAAACGCGAACAATACATCTGATAACTTCATGTAACTTCGCACCTCCGATGAGCTCGGATGGCTACGTACAGTGCGAAAGAAGTTCAACATACTTACATGTGTATTGCATTTCATTTCCAATATAAAGCATTACGGGGGCGATTTGGAAATTCTGTAAAATGATACAAAATTACCAATTATTATCACAAACACATTACCTCGCAAGAGTACATCGTGAAATGGGAAGGGTAATTGATATTTTATTATTCTGATTTTTAGATGGAATCGTTGGTCGATGAAATGCGTTTGTATTCCAAGGCAGTGTTCACTATTAACGTCGTGTTTTTTTATATTTTTGTTCATTTGGCTGATCAACTATGATTATGTGATTTCCTTGTTTGTTTTTATAAATCACTAGCTTAAATACCTGGCGTTGCCCTGGCCAACAAAAATATTTCAAAACTACTCTTACAAATCTAACAGCAGTGCGTACTAACTGTGGTGGTACCTGCTATGATTACAGTAGTGCATGCCGACTGTGGCGGTACTTGCTATACTACAGTAGTACATGCTGACTCTATAGCAGTATTTATGGACTCTATAGCACAAAGTACTCACCTGACAGAGTGGCGTGGCGAGGCCGAGTCCCGTGCAGAGCCTCCGGCCTCGCCTAGATTGTCCAGCCGGCCGA